ATAGTCGTGCCATAGAGACAGTGTTAATGATAAACATTTATGACAGATATAACGAAAGGTGTATTTGAAAATTACTTGAGATCTCTTTGTTTTACGCTCTGAAAACAAGCATTGCGAAACTAGGAATGTAATTCATATGAGGCAGATCGGAAGCCTGTACAAGTACTGTTGAGAGAGCCCGCATAGACACTAGCACCACCATATTGCCCTCACCTGGATAGGTATTATATGAAACTCAGTGGTTATGGTGCTCGGCCCCACGAAACACACTGGACGTCGCGGGCATTGTGTGACCGGTGTTGTGTTTCGTTTGCTTGGTGCCGTGAGGCCACTGACTGTGCAGCCCGCAGTGGTCGGCTCAGTAATTGCCAACACACTGACAATGTTACTGTAGCCCTAATACAACAAAATCTGCTTGTCCCCAAGTGCGAAGCAGGGCATGACTGGAAGAGGTGCTCTGGTCTAAATTTATTTTAATGACTTAGCAGCTTTTTTGGACTGTTTTGTGGTCCCCACCAGATCACGAAAATTGGTCAATGTTTTCTGCACTTGTGAGACAAACTGTCCATATTTGTCTGCACATGATACACATAATTAGCTCTTTGTAGACAACAAGATTGGGAGCTGGGCTAGTTGGTGATATACCGTGTACTGAAGTAGGGCACAGGGACAAGATGGACAGTTGTCTTGTCCTCTTTGTCCCTGTTAAAGGTGCCCTAAATCACCACACGGTTAGTGAGACATATGTATGGGACATTTGAGTATTTTTTCGTGTGCTTACTTGAGTATTCAAAAATAAGTTTTATGGCACAAAATGAACCCTTCTGAATATCCTTACGTCAAAATCTCAATGAACCAATGTGGAATTCATTAAAATACATGTCCCAAATCAAAAACTACAACAGAAACTCAAAGCTCGTTTGAGTTACGCTATCAGCACTGCAAATCACAAGACAAGGGTAAGTTGGGCAAGTTTTAAATAAGGTAACTGCGCAAAAAATGAACAGAAACATGGAGCGAGAGAAAAGGACAGACGAGCGCAGACTATCAACTGAACCTTTATTGCAAGAACGAGGCAGGATAAAAAGAAAGGGGGAGCAGAAAGAAAAGTACGAGGGACTAAATAAACCTAGGCGACATCAAGCATGGCACACCCGTCGTGCAGGACTAAGATAATTTAACTCTTTATCATGTAAGGCGACAGAGGCAACACTGACACAAGACTCGAATTTCTTGTGTGTTTGCAGCAAATAACATGTAGTTACCAACTTTCATCACTTTATCTCAACTCTTTATCATGTAAGGTGACAGAGACAACACTGACACAAGACCCCGATTTCTTGTGTATGAGCAGCAAATCACATGTGCTTACCAACTTTCATCACTTTATCTGCATAAATAACAAATAGTAGTTTTCATTGCTATGTACCGCGACTAATCATTACTCTGCACTCCTAGACCATATGCCCTATCTCTTGTTATCCATCGCTCTTTTTGTTTTGTTGGGACCCTTGGCTGTTCTGTCCTGGTGATGCACATTTCCTTTAGAGTCGTCAAATTTATTTGTATACTATAGTATTGCAGGACTGATACACTATTGCAATAGTGAGTGTGAGTACTACAACATGAACTTAGATCCATCACAAGCCCCAGTTTGAGGGTGGTTGAAAATTTCTTAAAGGCTCCACCTAACAGAGCACCAGTGCTTAAGACTGTTTCTGGCATATTTGTTGGGAATTGTTTTCATCACTTTCTCTCAAGACGTAGCTGCTAGTGTCTTGATAAGAAAGAGTGGCAAAAAGGGGAAGATGGAAGGTTGCGATGAAGAGAAAAACAGGAGTTGTATGATCGAGCCAACGTTTCAGCTAGTGGATTTGTCATCCTTAAGGAAGTAAAGGCCACTTGTTCAAACATTGGCTCGAGCACACAACTCGGGTTAGCAGATTTTTTCACAGCTAGTCTTAAAGCTTGAACAATTTGGGAATAGCAAGAATGCATGTTTATATATTGTGAAAACTTTTTTGATAGTTGAGGCTTCAGTTATTCTAAAATGCTTTTTTAGGTTCTGAACTCGACTTTGCTGTGTGCTCATTGTTTCTTGAGTCTATAATTTCTAGGGACTGTGTTGCATGTGAGTAGTTTTGTTAGCTTTTCTAAAAAATTTTTTCAAGGCTTAACATGCTTAACATTTGAATGTATTCATGAAAAAACTTTCTTAATGTGTTTCATCTTGTAAGCCATGGTGTATCACTCTAAGAATCTGTGAAAGAAAAAAAAAATTTGATGAAGTATAATGATCTGCGTTATGTGAATGAGTTACAATACCCTAATGATTTTGTTCTCATTTTTTGCATATTACTTCATGACTACTAAATTAGTCATTTTTTTAGCAGTCTTACACTCAGTGTTGACAGCAAAAACAAATGGTATTCGCGAGGAGATCGAGCTGTATATGGCAGCACCGTCCCCGCGCAAGTGTGGATAGGCGGTCGGCGGCACGTATACAAATACACGCAGTGGCGCTTCGCTACGTGTGGTTTGAGCTGATTGATGGGGAATGAAATGTGTTGACTGCAGTTTACTGGTAAAATATACACTCCTTTCGAATCAACACACGAAACCTATGCAACGTTACTATTACTAGCGAGTCAAGCTCGCCTTGGTTGGCTGACTGCGCGCTTTCACCCTAAATCACGCTTGTGATGTGTTGTTTGTATGCATTTCACTTTTGTTCCGCCTAGTGCGCACTCCTCTTACATGACTGAACTACCTATTAAGATCTTGCTCATCTGAACACTATAAAAGAAAGATAAGCCAAAATATCCCTCATATCGGTGCGACGCATTCGGTGCCATGCTCATTTCTTGCCTCATTCTGTTCACCATAAAATGTGGGACAGTCGATAAGTCTAGCCAGGAAGGCTTTGTGGCTGACAGCGCTTCGCGTTACATTGATGTTTACCATGTACGCTCATGTTCGTGCTCCAGTAAAACTATCAAGAGTTCTGCAAAAAGCTTTCATTGAAGGATTTCATGCATATGACAGTGATGAAACAAAGGTCTACTTATTTCACAGGAAGAACGTACATGTTTTCATTTTTTTTTTTTTCAATTGAAGAATGACCGCTGCCTTCCGTCAATCAGCAGGGCCACACAAACACTCAAGACAGTGTAAAAAAATATGATATTTTCTGTGAAATTATACAAAAGTAATGTAAGGCATGCTGTCTGAATCAATTTCAAACATCTTTGTTCTTTAAGGCATTTTTAAATCTAAGCACACAACTGTTTCAGCGCAGTTATTGCTGCGTAAATTTCACCCCAAGCTAGAAAATGACACTCGGCAACTTCGTTTCAAGAAAAGTTTAAGTACAGAAGTATGACGCTTTACTTGATAGAATTACATCTCGGTAGTAGTACCATGGCCAGCTCAGCCTAACTAAAGCTCACCGCATAGTTGATGAACTATATACAGTGCCGTAGTTACACACCTAACAACAAGGTGCAAGTGCATGGCCTAGAGCCTCATTTTAATTTACAACCAAGTCGCTCAAATGCTTCACTCACCATTTATTAGTTCTCACGTTTGAAACGATGTCAAGTGCACTTTACGATGTGCTTGAGGCAGAAAGTGGTACCCACACTGAAATGATTCAGGTAAATGAAGGGTACGACAACAATACACAACACTCAGAAAGGTGCACATCACTGATGTTATTGCAGTGCATTACCAGCCGAGCAAGACCAAGTGCTTTCATACGTCCTTTTAGGCATACGTACTAGCAGTTAAGCTCGCCTAAACATATCCGAACAAACCACCCTTTGCGAACGTGCACGACGAACTATTTCCCCATGCAAACATGACGTGGCTAGCAGATGACGCAGGGAGCATCCACACTTCGCCGTTTCGGCCAGTTGCCGTCAGGCGGCGACTCTGCCCGATCTAGTGACCAATAGCTCAGGCTGGGCACTGTTGTATTGAATGCACTACGGTTTTTAACCCTGTACTGCCTTTTTGGGACATTAAATCCCACATAACAATCAACCCTGTACTGCCTAATGTGACGAATTCGCGACATACCAAAAAACTGCAAGTAAGCAAGTCATGGAACACGTGCCGCCTTTAATGCTGGCTGTCAAGTACTCACGGGGAACGTAGCTTTCACCATAAAAAATCTAACGCTATCTGATGAAATCTATTTTATGTCAGAATCAATTGTTTTGTAGCTGATGGTGGAGAGCACTAAGTGTGCGCAAGAGCTCTCAGTTCTTTGTTCTTACTCGCCTGCTGACTCAAGTTCTTACTTCAATAATTTTCTTTATTTGGTGGGTACCCGCTCAAGACCTGGCTCATGACATGTTGCGTAGCTTTGAAGCGCGTTTTTTATTGCAAGGTTCTCGCTTATCAGCATGAGGAGAACTTGCGACATACATAAAAGCATGCATTAAAGATGCCTTTTAGATACTTTATCTGCGGAATCAATGAAAGGTTACTATTTAAAGCTGGAAAATGAAAGCAATTTCAATTTTCCTCAGCTGTTTCATAATTCTGGCATTAAAGGTTAATGTGGTTATCCGTGCCTGATGTAGCTGTTTAGGCTACATGAGTGGATCTGATGTTCTTTGGCCTCTCAGATTATTTACACGTATGTAATGTCAGCGTCAGTCTACTGCAAGGGGAATGATGAAGTTGATTGCCTAGTCTGCCAAGGTGAATCAGTGGCTCCGGCGCTTGACTGCTGATCCGAACGTCACAAGTTTGATGCTGGCCGGGGGGTCGCACTGAAGTTAAACCAAAATAGTAGAGGCTCATTTACTGTATGATGCCAGTGCACATTAAAGGAACACCAGGTGGTCAAAATTTCTTGAGCCCTTCACTACGACTCTCATAATCATGTTGTGGTTTTGGGACGTGAAACCCCATATGTTGATCGGCTCGAACCAAAGCAAAATTGCAGGTTGCTCAATGGGAACCAAAGTGGCTGTGTGTGAATGGTGCAGGTGACGAACTACTCCTCCAGCCTGAGCCCGTGTTCGCGCTGTCGGCCGACGGTGTGCCTGCGACGTGCATTGTGGGATCGGCTCTGGGCCGCATCTTCCTAGGTGGCCGGGATGGCTGCCTCTACGAGATAGTCTACTCGGCTGGCAGCAGCTGGTTTGGGTCGCGCTGCCGCAAGGTGAACCACTCGAGCAGCGCTCTGTCCTACTTGCTGCCGGCCTTCCTGAGCCTGCCCTTTGGCAAGGAGGACCCCATCGTCCAGGTTAAGTACTTTCTCGGTTTACAAGCAGCTCATCAAAGTCTATTGCGATGACTACTTATGGCCAGAGTCACCAATATTCGCACTATGTAAGCCACTGTATAGGTAAGCAAACTTGCTCATGAGCTGGGCTTTCTCAGATAGTACATCCAAATCTAAATGAGCACAAGGTATATTTATTAAAGGGGCCCTTCAGCACTTTTCCAAGTTGGTTGTTTGCATTCGAATATATGGAATTAAGTTATTGCTTTTCGTATGTAGAGGTACAGCTATATTGCTTTAGATGGTACCAGTCCTACGGGGGATGTGAATCTAAGCGCTTGAAATCTACTTCAAGTCTTTAGTAATGGGCATGTAGGTGTTCTATAATGCAAATTTAGGTGCAGAAGATTGCTCGGAATCTGACAGCACAATGGCACCAATGTGCTACCTTACTTCGTCAGTGGGTGTGTCCAGAAAAAAATTGAACACAAGGTCCTGGTCTCCAGTCCAGACTTTGATGAAATTTACTGTGAGCCTAGGCATTAGAGCCTGAATAATGGTTTCAAAGTTAGTTTTGTGAGAAAAGATATTGTTTGCCTAAAAAAACATATTGAATATTAATAGGCGAAAAACATTTTTCTGCCAATTTTGTGATTTCTAAACTTCAAGTGCACCTAAGTAAAAAATGGTCTTCTTCTTAACCACAGCGTTTATTTCCGTCAAAGAACAACTGATACAGCATCTTATGAGTGAATTATATTTTTTACCTGTTGAGAAACTTAAGAGGGAAAAAAGTCACAAACATGGCAAACTGCACAAAATGCCTCTATTTCAGGATTTTATAATTGTTGTGTGAATATTCGAAAGTTTCCATTGTTTGTCGAATACTGCAATCGTAATACAGTTAAACCTGGATCTAACAAAATTGACAAATTCCCGGAGAAATTTGTTATAAAGAGGATTTCCTTATATGCAGGTTCAGTACAAAAATTCAAAAAATAAATGCACAAATTAAACAAAAAGCACAACTGAAGGGAGAGCTTACCCATAATACCCATTTAGCAGTAAAAAACTGCGTTGTTACTGCGATAGCAGTTATATGGACTCTCTCGGCCGGCTTTTGTCGTCACCACCATGTTCTGTACCAGTTCCGAATTGATGACATGCCCCCGCACATTATAACTTTTACGAGCAAGTAAAAGTGCGCGAGCGCTGATGAAACAGAAATCAAACGAGCTGGACCAACTCCATCGCCAGGAGGGTGCATACAATAACGTCCTCCCAAGTGTTGGAACGCTGTTGAATGCTCAAACAGAAAAAAAGCCACCCGTATTTAACGAGCTTGAAAAAATGCAGGGGGGGAGGGGTTGCTCAAGTGGAAGTGGTGAACTTTGATTTTAAGGGCGCGGTCCCAATGGCTGATGCACGTGCTATCTCAGCAAGCATCAGTCCAATCTGAAGAGACGGTGTGAAAAGAGCACTTCTCCTTGGAGTGGCTGTTTTTGCTTACGCCAGCATTTTGTAGGAGTTCCATGATATCAAATCATAAATAGTTGGCTGCCAGCCTTTCTTCATATAACATTACAACTTGGTGTCTCGCATGCATTGCATTCAACACACCGTTGTGTTGTTGCCAGAGCTAATTGGCTAATCGCGAAGGCTGTGGTACCTTGAACTTACACTGCAAACGGAAACGCGCGACGAGTCGACCTACGAAGCTTCGTCGTGGTCACTGTGCTCTCGAAGTTTCCATCAGCGTCTAGTATAACATCCTTTCGGTAGTGGTGACACTGCTATCCGCATAAAGAAAACAAAACGAAAGCTGGACGTCGTCAGGGGCTATATCATGTGCGCGCAATGAAAACATGCACGTGCACACGGAAGAACAAATGACACGGATACGGCGGAAAACTGTTCGGTAAAATGCCCTCCACACCCGGCCCGGTCCAACATATGTAATGCTAACTAGAAACTAGAAGCGTGGCACTGGAAATGCAAAAGTGTTTCTTTTTTTTATTTTCGAGGGAAGGGGCACATTCACACATGTGCCCATGGCGGCAAGAACGGTGGCAACGCTGGCTAATGAGGCACCAGCACATGTCTGCCTGCTTGCCTCACACACACCAGCACGCAATAATCAGCGCTCGCTCTCGCCTGAGTTCGCGAAGGCCACGAGGGTGCCGCCACCGCTTAGCACTTCGTCAGTGGCGGCACAATCGCAGAAGATGCATGCTCGTGGGAAAGTGACAAAATCCAGGGTAAAATTTATAGATTGTAAGCAGTGAAAATTCGTTATATCAAGGTTGTCTCCAACTGTTACTTCATTACATAAGTCGCAGAGACGTGCTTTTATAAAGGAACGGCTGGGAATAAAATAACTTTTTATATCGGGGAATTTGTTATATGGAGATTTGCTATGAACAAGTTCAACTGTATCTGTATTTTTGATAAGTTCAATATTGTACCCAGTATCTTGAGATGAAAGATACAGTCGGCGTCCAATTTCTTGGACGCCCGAAATTCTGGACATGCTTGATTTCCCGGACTCATCTGTGGCACTGTCAAGTTCCCCATAGAATCAATGTATGGAAAAGTCTGAAATTTTGGTCGTATCTTTCGACATCCGATTTTTCAGAGTTTCTGGCGCTAACTGCGGACTCTAAGTCACTATCAACGCCGCCATTTTAGTTGTTTTCGTACCCTCTAACCATAGAGTTAATGCAACAGACCCACCACGCATAATATAACAGACCCACCGCTTGTCAAGCGACTGATCGCAAGGCTGTACCATGCAACCTGGCTGTGCATTTGTGTTTGTGCAGCTACTGCTTTGTGCTTATCTCGTGGACAATCATATTAAACAACTTATATCTAATTTGCAGCCCTTAAAGAACGGTGCTGCCGCGAGACTGTTTTTGTCACGTGTGACAACTTATCACTTGTTAACAACCAGAAAAATGCAATGTTCTTCATGCAGAATGGTAGATGAGGTCCTCGACTTCTTGGGAGCGATTAAAAAAAAATTCATTATGGCCATTTTGAGAAAATTATTTTCAAACTTCAAGGCTTCTGGTAAACCAGTTATATTTAATCACAATTATGAATTAAAACGACACGTAATACAACTGCGAAAGTTATTTAAAAAGAAAATGAAAGTATCAAAGTTGACACAGTATAACTCAATTACAACAGACCTGCTTACAACAGACATTTCAATGCTACATACTTATTAGCATCGTGATGTTGGCCTTCCTATTTGTTCCATTGATTGAGCTTTGTTTACTATGGATTCTGGTACAGCAGACATTCAGATATACAATTGGCTAAAATCTAAAGCCAGCAAGTTTGTGAGGACTTCTGTGCAGTAGACTGTTCTACCATGGATATCCATGGTTCAGCAACTTCATACTTCAAACCATTTCAAGGGTGAAGGCAACTAATCTCCGGTCTGTTAATTATCAGTTATGCGAAGCTACAGCAACAAAAAATCGATACGTGGGGTGCTTGGTGTTGCGTTTTGAAGAGCAGACGCACGTTTTAGCCTCTGCCATGGCTGCTACTGCCCACCGAGCGGTTGCTGCGTGGCGAGCTTTGCCGGGGGGGGGGGGGGCACTGCTGATTCGCGAAATCCCCATTCATGGTTCTAGAAGCCAGTGGGCAACATAATTTGTTGCTTTAGACAAAGCACATGATGGCTTTTTCGCATGTCCACTAGCTTGCCTGCAAAGTTCATAATGGAGTTTGGCCTAGCAAGGGCTTCGAGCAGAAAGCTCGCTTGTGAAGTGTGTGGCCACGGTGCCCGATATTTTAGTTTTAATCATGCTCAGTCGCAAGCAGAAAGATTTGCCTTGCGGTGGTCTTCGTCTCAAATGAGCTTGTACTAGCGCGGCACATATGAAACGGAAAACGGGAAAGACGACACAGATGTCTAGAAAGGTAGGCGCTTTTTACTGCGGAATTTGATCGCTCGACCTCGAAATCAGCTGACACGTGAAATTAAAGAAGCTGAAGCTATAGTAGATATGGGTACCTTTTGTGTGAGTTTGCCATAAATTGCACTGACGGATAAGAAAATGACGTTTCTTGGAAGGAGACCGCGTGCAAGATTAGTTGTGTTTTTATGCATGTATAAGATGGATGTGAAGGGCATGAAATAAACAGTTGGAGGTTTAGCGCCTACTTTTTTGACGTCTCTGTTGTCTTCCCCTTTTTTCTTTTGATATGTGCCGTGCTAATACAAGCTTACTTCATGAATAACCAACTCGTCCGAGCCACAACACTTTAGTATCAAGGTTCGAGGCGCTGGTAAGCAGAACCTTTAATAGCAGGCTCAACAAGTTTATCGTGCCCTGCAGTCGTCACGAACATCATAATCTGATTGTTACGACGTGGTGGTAGATGAATATTGATGATTACGATTACGTCGTAATCTCATCACTGAATTTCTGCTTATAGCTGTGTTATTTAAAGCATAAATGTATTATAAACCGTCGTCAAATCATGGACACAGAACGAGTGCAAAAATGTCACCTAATAGTAGCATTTTTGACAGCAATGGCCTCTTAACACACAAGCAGCAGACAATATCGCAGAGTGAGCATCGCACCAATGGCGAAATGTACTAAAGGTGTGTACCGTATGAAAAAGATGGAAAACAGATTTGGTGTTAAGGCGGATTTTTCGTCCGAGAACAAGTTGGGCTGAGTCTGTGCAATGGTGGATATGAAAATTGAAGGCAAAAAAAAAAAAAAAAAGCGGAGTGAATGTGAGGTTAATTACTGGGAACCGTTAGTCAAATGTGGAAAGGGTGCAGTATATCTCATTCGTGCACGTACCTAATAGCAAACAAATAGGTTCTTTTCGGTTGCTGGCGATATTACCTAATCAGACAGCTGACGTCAAAGTGACCACTGGGGGTGCGAGAAAGGCCTGGGAAGAGCGCGGGATTGCTTTAGAGCGAAGCACCTTAGGGTTGCAGCGTGTCAGCCGGCATCGTCTGCTGCTGTCGTGACTGTCGATTT